TCTATCCATTTAATTCAAAAAGACAAAAGAATCACTGCCTAGATTCGCTTCATTACACATTCCTGCAGTGATACCAGATGGTAAGCTTAGCCCTACACCCTTTTTAACGTTGAGCCTCAATACTAAAACAAAGAGCTCTTTTTTTTTGTTGGCTTTTTGTGTTAAGATCATGTCTGCAAATCAGTGTTCAATATAGTCACGATGGTAAAGTATATTGCAGTGGTATGTGAGAATGTAATTGTCGTTTAACTTAAGAGAACCTTGGCTATATGACCCAGTTAAAGAGCTCTTTACAAATTTCCTTTTGTCAGGTCTGTGGTATCGAACTGGCGCTTAACCCATCTCCATCCTCCCCTTTCAGTGCAGTTGCCATGGGAGTGCATATTGAGCCCTGGTGAAGCTTTTCAATATTCAGGATCCATACCTCCACCTGATCCTGCACCTCAACACTAACTAAGAGTTGCAGGCTGCGTTAGCCTCTGCACGGCTGCCTCTGGTCCCTCTCCGGACCACCACCCCTGCATCCCTCCTGTCATGGGAAAGGAATGCTGAGAAAGATAAGACCACTTCAAAAGACACACACAGATGTAGGCTATGCACATGGGCGCACACACACACACACACACACACACACACACACAGTGGATGCATTCTACACCTTTAAGAGTAGCGGGGCACTATCTCCGGCAAGCATGTGGGCATGTATGCAAAGAAAGGCACAAACAATGACACACTTAGTCAACAACCTGCCAAAAAACGTCCATGTAGCAAGAGTTGATCTTTATAAAAAATAATAAAAGAATCTTTATAAACACACTTAATGTGTTGCTTTGATTATAGAAAGTGATTAATCACCTTTACAAAAAGGCAAACTTTCTGAATGTGTGTGTGAATGCAAAGACCTGCTATGCTTTCATGAGCGTATTAATGCACCATATCCTTAAATAAATGATAAATAAAAATGAAATTGAAACAATAGAAGAAAATCAACACACTTTAAATTAGGGATGAACAGGACTGTGACTGAATAAAAAAAACAAAAAGAGTTGCTGGAAATTCTACACACCATGACACGTGCCATCCTTGACAGCGTGAGTTTGGACAGGCGCTCACACAGCCAGCGTGTTAGCCTCTCATAAAAAGGGGAAGGCACACTTTCCTCCAGCTGCCTAAAGTAGACGCTGCCTCTGCCACTCCAAACGTGAACGATCAAACTGAGCAGAAGTTACTGCTGAGACACAGTTAGAGTTGCAGCAACCCTGCACCACACCTCAGCAGGCACATGGTTTCAATAAAACCAGTTGGGCGCCGAACAGCAGGACTGGAACAGTAAATACCATTATCTGGAAACAGACCAGTTGTTTTTCTTTTACCCTACTTTAAACATTCAGGTGATTTTCTGATTCCTTTAAACTGTGATTTGGAGGTCATTGTTGCAAAAGCGGGCAAGCTGTTCCCCAGATGAGTTCTCTCTCTTTATCCCCCCTTTGCGGTGCATCTCTCCATCTCTATGCTAATGCCCTGTAATGATCTGAGGCACGTTGGGATGAAAGAAGAGGAGAGAAACTTGTTATTTGCACAGCTTTGTAGTGCTTTCTGTTGTTGTTGCTATAGTAACACAGACCTGGAACTCATATTGACACATTCATGCTTATTTGCATTGCAGGAAAGGGTGATTTTTTTCCCCGTTTTATGCTGGGAAGAAAGAGTAAGGCTATAAACCCTGGAAATGAAGGGGTGTGGATAAACGCTATCAAGTTACATGCAAGCAATGATAACCAGAACAGCCGACACATTCATCATCATCATCATCAGTTGTTGTCCTGCTTATAGGGAGAAGAAATAAAATAAAGACTGTCATTAATAGGTCTAGGTTGACTTTTAACAGTATATTGTGTGGATCAACAAATACACATCACAAGACACATACCACACAGTATCTGGCACATGGAAGGCATGTTGAGCAGTTCTACTTGTTTAATTTCATCATCCATCCTCCCTTCTTCACACACTCACACTCACACACACTCTTGCTTCGACTTTGAAGTTCTCCTGGATCGCCTTTAAAGACTGTCAGTGTTGCCACGACAGCAGGCAGGTAACAGAAATGAGACTGCTAACAGAAATGAGACTGCTTAGTATGTGTGTGTGTGTGATTGTGAGTGTGTGTGTGTGTGAAGTCAGAGTACTTAATTAGCTAAGAGCCCAACGGGCCACTTGCAGTTTCTCAGTGTTTAACACTAAACGAGGGAATGACTGGCTCGTTACTGATACTAACAACAAGGATAATTTATGCACAAGCGGATCTGTCTGCTGTGTTTAAGCTTGTCCTCTGTTGCCGGGCTGACAATGACAAGCATAAACAATAAGCCGGCACAACCATCAGTGTCCCTTTGCGATCTTTATGTTGAACACTAAATGCCACAAAACTGCTAAATTTGTTTTCATGTTGTTTCATATTGACAGAAACACAAAGGAACATTAATAATAATCCATGTCCTAAAGCTTAATATAATTTTTCATTCACAAAAAGGAGTTTTTAGACGCCATTTTAAAAAGTGTTTGGCTAAGACACAAAGCGGCTTGGGCCACTGATGAGGACCAAAGAAATACAGCCACGCTTAACCCTTCCTTTTTAATCCACTGCCTGTGGGTTGCTATTATATTGTGACAAACAGTTGAAAAACCTCTCAACGGGGGTGATGGCACTGTGACTGGCCTTGGCCGTGTATGGCTGGAACTGGGGCTGTCAATGGGCGTCGTGTTTAATTGTGCAGAACACATTCTAGTTTCTGACAGGGATACTGTAATCTGCTTGTGACCAAGTACTGTGGTCCTGTATGGGATTAATAACCCAGTGGAATGTACTGACTGGTTGGTTAGCTGAAGTCTGTTGAAGTCCAGGCTGTCAGCAGTGTGTGCAGTTCTGGAGGGAAGGGAGTGATAGACCTAAAGGGTGAGAGCAGGATGCCGAGGGAGTGGATGGGGGAAACAAAAGTAGGGCTCTAATTTTATGGTAGTTAATGTTAATAATTGTGGAAAATGATGAAAGATGGGTTCACAAGTTTGAAAACAGAGGCATAATTAATATCATCTGAAGCATTACTTAGACTCATGGTATTTTGCATGCTGGCTCACTAGGACACATACTGGAACTGATCCATTGTCAGTGTCATTTGTGGTTTTAACCTCTGCTGTGACACATGGCTATAAATTGACCTTAAAGCATCATTAATTGACTTTTTGTGGGACTTGGGGTCAGCGAAATATAATATAAACACTGACCGACCTTGACTGACCTTATAAAGCTGTTACGGTGAACGTGCTCATTTTTGTGGCCACCTGATGAATGTGAGTCAATATTCACTTTCGTTTTACCTCCGTTTTGGTTCCCACCAACTACCGAGGGAAAAGTCTGTCTCTTTAGCTGCTAAACATTACAATATCTTCACCAGCTAGACTCTAACTGTGCCTGTCTGCCCGTTTGGTGCTGGACCGGTAGTGTACAGTGGGTTTATCAGCACTTTTACTCAATACAGCTGCCTGCAGAGGCTAGAAAAGGGATTGATTAGAGTGAACCAAAACAGTAGAGCTGAGAGTAACTGACGAGTTGGGTGATAATTGTGTACTGAGAGCGATCGAGTTCACAGTACACAGTCATTTGACTCATTTGCTCACATAAAAATACTGATTAATAATTTGAATTATTTTACAGCAAGTCATGCTGTTTCTTTATTATTAAATATTGAGTTCATCCCAACTGATTGTCGTGTTTTCTTCTTGATGATGTGTTACAGCTACAGTCACATGCTTTGTCAGTTTGTTCGTATAGAGACTGTTTGATTTATAGAGTGGGATTAAGTTTGCTTTTAAGATCACACTTGGAGCTCTTATCTGTATGGCTTCTCATCACAGTTTCCGAGGCTCTCAACTCTAACTGTACTACTCATAGTTAGAAAAAAAAAAAGATCAAAGAGAGTATGCAAGGGTTGGCTTGTTAAAGTCAAATTCCACCTTAAATCAGAATGCATACACACTCTTCTTATGATCAAAGACTCAAGTCAGCAGACATAAACAACTCTCTAATAAAGTTTGAAGCCACAAAAGTCAAGGTTTAAATGTGTCATACTAATAATTGAAAAAAAAAAAAACCTCTACTATTTTTTTAATTATATATGTTGGAAATGTAATGACCAAAGGGGGCAATTTCAGCACAAACAGTAGTTAAGCAGAAAATATGTCCATATACCTGTCAAATAACTCTTGACACAATCACTGTGCTTGCTTTTTCATGATATTCTTAGATGATGATCAGGTTTGTGCAGTGTTGCAGACACAGACACATACTTTGCCTGAAAGTCTCCCTGACTGTTTTCCATTCTATTATATGTGAAGAAGTCATTGTTCCAGCTCGCAATCTACGTCAACTGCACACATCTGCAAAGCACAAATACACACAAATTTACTCACACTGGCTGACGTGCTGATGGTGTGCTCGAGAGTGTTGTGTCAAACACTTGGCCAAGAGGTAAGGAGTAGGACCCCACACAGACATACAGATTTTAAAGCTCACTAATGTGATTATTGTTTCTTCTAACATAACTGACAAAATATACTGTAAAGTGTATATGTTGAAGCTATTTGTGTTCGCATTTGAGCTATATATGAACCCTAACATTTGGTATTCAAAATGCAATGGTCAGCCGTTTGCTGCATCTGAGAATAAAGGTTTAGCCACAGGAAAGATCATATCAATGGGATCTTACCGAAGGTTAATAAATGTACGGCTTTAGCATCAGCCCTACAGTTTAATACTATGAATACAGCCAGAAGCAGTGCTTTAAAGTACAGTTTTTGGGATAATAACTCTGTAATCACTGATAAATAAAATTGTTTTCCTAAGTTACATTTTGACACTGTACAATTACAAAAAAAAACTTTCACCGTGATTCTTTTTACTGTGACAAGTTACACTTTCGGTTTGGTCTGTCTCACTGTACCTGAGTGCATCTTCTAGTTTGGCTATCTTCCTCTTGGCCTCTGTCCTCTCTTTCTCTGCTTCACTGTGGATTGCTAAAACCTGAGGGAGAGAGGGAGAGTAAAAAGAGGGAGAGAGATAGGGAGATAGAGAGAGACAGAGGGGTGTAAGTGAGTGCAACAGCAGACACCATCAAACATCACTCAACAAAACTCTCCAGCCTGAGACCTTGTGCATCTGGTCTCATCTCTCTCTATTACCCCATCAAAAGGACCATCTGAGCCTATGTGCCTGCAGAGGGGGCCTCTCACTCTGGATCTATGAGAGCCATATGGACCCTTCTTATGTCCAGATCCCGTACACTCTGGCCTCTTTCACATATACATTTACCTCTCCAGAGGTGTGGACAGAGGAATCTTTCCAGAGGAAAAAAAAAAGGAAACTGAACAACTGATTCGTAATTCTTTCATTGTTTTCATCTCCTGTCACCTTGCAGAATGAAGAAGGAAAAAGATGGAAGTAGAAAAATCGGTACAGGATGATAAAGAGACAGAATAAAACACAGACTGAATTTGAGAAAAACACAAAGACATCAAAACCAATCTAGGACTTTCTTTTAGAGAAGCTTAAATTAAATTCTCCCTGACGATGAAAAAAGTGCACAGAGGCCTGCTAAGTTCTTGCAGGTGTATCAGCCAGAGGGGCCCCTGTCTCCGGGTATGCCAGCTTGCCACCAGCCGACATATTATAACTGTGGCACTTTGAAGATGACCCAGGTGCAGCAGGTCTTTAAAACCCGATTTTCCAACAAGTCTGGCCTGGACTGGTCTGGTCCAGCTTAGATCATTAACAATGGTCTCCTCACTCTATGGTTTACAGCTGCTCTGTGGCTTTGAAGAGGGTCTCTGAAAAGTAAAGACCTGGGTGAAGAGGCAATTAAGTGCAGGCCTGGGCACATTGACAGTGCATACTTCTGGCAGAAAAATGTCCCTTTTGAATGTCGTCTTTTGCAGAGTGACTGTACAAGTTTATTTGGATGTGCTTCTAACTTCCATTCTCAACTTTCTTTGCTTTATAACTCTTACGCTAAATTATAGATTTTCCATCCTTGTTCTTCTCTGTCCGGTCCTACATCTACCGGTTAATCACGGCTCTGATTTTACGAGACCAGACGTAAAATCTAAAAGTAAGGCGAACATGTGACTCCGGGCTTTGATCTCATCTTGACCGTAATTACTTTGTCCAGGGCTGTTTAAATGTAACGACAGAAGCTATGGAGTTCTGTCTCTCTGTGGACACTCTACCTTTTTCTCACAGTTGATCTGCAGTTCATCTTTTTCCTGCTGAAACTTTATCCCTTGATCCTGAAAGCAAGCAGAGTTGAAATGATTCCGTGTGGCAGAGGTGATACTATGACACATCACAAAAAAGACAAACCAACTGCAGCCTTATGCATTTTCACAGCCGGTGTTGCTACAGTGGCAGAAAAGATGCATGGCATTTAGGCATGCATTTTACCCATTAAGATGAGTTACACATGCATGTACGAGCAAGTGCACATATACGCAATAAAACCACCACCTAAATCTTACTCTGACTTTCTGGTGTCTTTGATGTTCACTGTCCAGGAGCTGCTGTTTGAGGTGGGCTATAGTTTTCTCTAAGTCCTCCATCAACTCAGAGGCCTGAAAGAGAGAAACAGAGGGAGGAAATTGGTAATTTGCATCAATCCGCAGTAAATTTAGCAGGCTGGTAGGGAGAGCCATGCAGAGATGTTATGGTAATGTGGACCTTAGCAGCAGACAGAGCATGCTCCTGATGTAAGTGGCTCATGTCAGTCTCATGTTTGGCTTGAAGCTTATGCACAGTCTGCTCATGCTGCTCATGCTGCTGCTCCTTCTCCCTCTGCAGAATCCCATTTCTGTGGACAGGTAAGAGCACAGCAGGGTAGTTAATACCTGTTAACTGACCTGTTCATATTTCAATGTCACCAGCTAAAAAAAATTACCTGAGTTACTTTGCCTCCCTGTTGCTAAAGTTATGTCTCAACACATTTAAAGGATTTCTTGGCACCTTACATGCACCTTGATGGTTAGGGGTTGTGTGATATGTCTTTAAGACCTCAAGCTTTACAATGAGAGTACATGTTGACAGCTTACTTATGAAGAACTGGCACATACATAGCTTTAAATAGTATTCTCTTTTCACCACTCCCTATTTCACAGACCGTCTGTTGGCCTCCTGCAGTTCGGCGCTGATGGATGCAATGTGGATCTCCAACTGGGCCTTCTCCTGTGTCACCTTGTGACGCAGCGCGTTGCCCTTCTCCACCTCCGCCGACTGCTGTTTCACCCGCAGCTCCAGCTCACGCACCGTTTGCTCCTGGACCACAAGCATACACAGAAACCACTAAACCAAACAGGTTGAACCAATAAGGGAACTAGCCTGAGAGAATGTCATGGGTCAGAGGACTGTGTGCTCCCATAGTGAAGTTAGACACAGCAATCTGGTTGCTAGTAAGGAAGAATGTGGCTAACAATTCAGATGACCACCTCTTTTACTTGATCCTTGATTTCATAACATACTCATTCTAAAATGTATTTCATAAAAGTTAAAGACTGTTGCCCATAAATTATAGATACCTACTGCTTAAGTTATATATTGCAATTATGATTAAGTGTAAAGCTAGAGTTGGACAGTTTTGCACTGGTATTCTCCGAAGAGCTTCAAAAACAAAACATACTCTATACAAAGGTCAAACCAGCAGAAACTTTTTCAATGTTATACAGGAAATGATCTTATCAAGTAAAAATAAAATTCATCTGTTTTGCTCATCCAGTCTACAAAAGCTCAACTGCAGCAGTTTTTGAAGTCAACTGTTGTCACTATTTCACCTTGTTGAGCTAATTCAGGCATTTAGATCAAATCATGGCAACTTATATCAATATGGGGCAATGTTTCCTCTCACTCCTATTTAAAAAGGTCAAATGTTAATATGCCTATACGGTGTTTCCCCACACATTGACTTTTCTTGGGTGGGTTGCCCAGGTATATTAATAGACAGTTATATTTGGCTACCGATTTTAGCATTTTGCAAAATCGGTAGCCAGGAGGAGGAGGAGTTGATCGTTGATTTTAGGAAAAAGGAGATAAAGACACTCCTGTCTTCATCAGTGGTGCTGAGATGGAGCAGGTGAACAGTTTCAGGGCAGCTTTTTCCCCCAAGCTACCAGACTTTTAAGCTCAAATTCATCCTCAGCACTGCTCCACTCAATATAGTTTATTTCTGTTTACCATTTTTATAATTGCTTTTATGTGTACATTGTCTGCTACGTAGCAAAAGGGAGTTATAAACTCAATTTCACTCTGCAACCTGTTTTATTGTGACAAATAAATCTACCTTGTATCTTGTACCTTGTGACGGTGAACACACCAGTGCAGATGCCCTTTGGTACCACGTTGGTTTTGATTGTTTTGATAGGCTGTGTCATTAACAAGCCTCCTCCACATGTGGAGCTCCTGCTGCTGTAAAAACGGAATTGCGGGTGGAAAAATACAAAAGACGCGTTGTATGTCTTTTCGGGCGACTTTATAAAACGTACTGCTGATGGAGAAAGTCAACAGAGCAGACACATACATAAAGAGAGAAACAGAAAGAGGCGAGGCAGGCCAGTGTGTTTGCAGTAAGAGACCAGAAATATAGGTGTGTGCATGTGTGGGGAAAATAGAACTGAAGGGGAAAGCAAGGTGAGCAGATTTAAGTAGCGAGTAAACACTGAAACAACCACAGCGGTTAAATGATACACATTTCTGGTGAAAGCACAGTAATACAAATGTGTAACAATTGCACGGAAATCTTTTGCGTACAAGATAAGGAACATATCAGATTCAAATACACTCCTCTGTGTACCTTTAACTCGTGTTCCAAAAATCTGAACAAACGTGTTAAGGCTGAAATACTCCACTCTCCGCCAACATTGTCAAGTTATTTCAGTGGCAAATGTCAAAAGCTCAATCTGGATTCTGATTTTAAATAAAGACAATGAAACTCTCGGCAAACGGTCCCCCAGCATGTGAATGTGTACCTCTGTGTGTGTGACAGCGTGGAATGCAGTGTGCGCAGGCTGATAAAGGCGATGACGGGGCGCTGATTAAAGATGGAGCTTGCTAGTCCATCTAGACGATGACAGAGGCTGGCGATGACAGGAATGTGGAATGACAGGAGAGGAGGGAGCGGTGTGTTTGAAAAAAAAAAAAAGAGTACTAGAAGCAGCACCCGGCAAGGCTGGCGAGAGAGTTGTCTTTGTGTTAGCAGTGGAGGGTGCTAAGAAAAGGAACAAGGCGCCTGTGTTGTGTTGGGATGCGTGCTGACACTTAGCTCTCTGGCAGGAGATGAGAAGAAGCACCTCTCCATACTGACGCTGGACTGGGCACACCTGGACACACTCAGCGGGAGCAAATTAAGTCCCCTAATTAGGTGTTTTAGACAGAGAATTACAAGGTGTGAAGTGCAGGCTACATACGCTACGTTATGAGCTCCACTCCCCTTCAGAGATTTAGAAGCGATAAAGTCTTTGAAGTAAAAAAAAAAAAGAAAAAAAAAACACAATTTGTAACAAAAAAAAAAGTCATATAGGGTGATGACCTTTTACAATTTCTGTATCAGAACTAAAGCCAGCACCTGGAAGACAGCCGGCATCACTCATCTCCTGAGGCTTGTCAGGCTGTGTGTGTGTATGTACGTTGTGTTTCAAACTCTAGTGTTAGAGGATGAGCAGCTTGTGGAGAAGGCATTCTGACAGACAACATAAGAAACAGTGACAGGTGACTGTGGACTTGTGGAACAGGCGACAAACAAATACTTCTGTATACTCCTATTTTACTATGACTATTACCGAGGGTGCACAGATATGGCTCATACCTCCACACACTGCAATAACTTATTTGTGTGTTCATACACAAAAAAGAAAACAAAAGCCATTGTCCAGGTAGGTTACAGTTACACAACTCCAACAAAAGATAACAAAATACTAGCTGGGGGGGGGGCTTATCTTTAACCACAACACAATATTAATCATATCTCCATTGTCAGTCATTTGGATATGGACATGCATGGACTGCAGTCAAGAGTTTGGCTGGTGCAAAACCTAGGCAGATACCGGCTTGTCTTTCTTTTGAAACACCCACTCGATCACTCTATCCGCTCTGCCCTGTGCACAGATAACGTCCAAAAATAACAGCATCTGACATATCGGTAAGCCCCTTGTGAGATCTTTGATCCGCGTTGGATAGAAATCCAACCAGGTAGCGATGGGCAGATGAACATTCTTAATTTCACTGTTATTAAACCAGATCCAGTATGCTGTATTTGAATGGAAATTAATCATCAATCTGAGTATGTCTTGGCTTGCATACTTTTTCATGTGAACCATACGAACTTTTCACATCGTGTTCTGGGTATGAACTTTTGTTAGCAGCTGCACCTCCCCCTCATAGTAAGCAGATGAGTACTAGTGGCCTGAAACAGACAAATAGTACAATTTACTGTACAAACCACATGCTCAAAGTTACTGAAGCTCCTAGCTACTGGGTCAAAGAACAGATGAATATTCTACAAGCACAACACGTCAGCAGAGAAAGAAAGACCTTTTCACAATAAAAGACTGATTCTAAAGGATTATGCTCAGAGACACCAACCACGGAACAAGAGTGCTGTAATAACTGCCTGAGATAAAGTCCACACATATGGGTCAGTCCAAACTTGCAGCAGCAGGGCAGCTAATTTACATTGACAGAGGGCTCTTTTCATTCTCTGGGGCCTTGTCTGTCCTTAATTATTAAAAGAGGTGCCTTACCACCAGACCCGCACTGTCCAGTGTTTGATGCCTCTTAAATGTGGGCCTGCTGACAGATTAAAGCCAGAAGCAATGTGTGCGCGTGTATATGTGTGATACATATGACAACCCATGAATGCTGATACTGATAACAATAATATTTACAAAGCAGTGCATTCGACCGGCCTCTGGTGCTGATGATCCCCCCTACTAATGAAATGTGTGTGAAACGCAAAGCCCTTTGATGTGATGTAATATAAACTGTCCCTTTGGGAGGCGTGTGTATGTGAATGCACATCTCCCGAGCACAACTATTGCCACGTGTAAGCTACAATACACACAATGGATCAAAGACCTTTTAAAGATGATATGAGTGTCATTCTCGCCCAGAGGTTACAGGATGTCTCCCTTCATTTGAGCCATGGAGTGGCGTAGATCACTGTTTTATAATTAGGATGTGAAAGATGTATATACATACCTCAGACCTACACATAGCAAGAGATTTGTGCAAAAATACACACATCTTGTCACCCAGAATCCTGTAATTCTGGTGTTGGGCACAGAAAACAGTCCACGTGAAGTGTCTGAACACTTGAGTCTTTTGCTACCATTTAAAATAAATCTCCTAAACAGCAACAAGCAGTTCCCTTTGGTATAAAGTAATGATGGTATTGAATAAACATTAGTATACCAATCCAAATTAAGTCATGTTTCATTTTCTTTTATTTTTAACCTTTATTTAGGGCAAAAGAGATTGAGATAAAATCTTTTTTTTTTGCCCTGGCTAAGAAAGGCAGCATGAGGTCAAGGTAAAGTTAAAACAATTTAAAACTGTTACATCTTGATACCATTTGGAGTCAACCACATGCAAAGTTCTCTCTTATACATACAGTACAATGGTTGCAAAACTAGCATTCCCTTCAGCTTGATCAATATCTAAATCCTAAACATGCATCACCCACATCTGTTCCTGTACTCACAGTTGCTTGTGACCGAGTATTATACTCTGCCTCCATCTTAGCCAGACGGAGGTTGGTGTCCTCCAGCAGTGCCTGGATGTTCTCAGTGTGTTTCTTCTGCAGTTCAAACTTCTCCTGCTCCATCTCTGTCACAGCAGCATGCAGCTGGAAGGGCACAGAATATCTACAGTCACAGATCTTTCTCCCTGTATTCTCATGACTGGGGCTTTTGTTTCTTTTGTCACAGTTTCTTCTATAATTTCTCGTTTCATAAAATCCAATTCTCCCGGCAAGTAATGTCTAGCTTATTCAAGGAGAATAAACATTGTCTATATGGCTATGTCGGGGGGGGGGGTTGCACAAATCTCTTACATCAGAGAAAAATTGTTCCACATGATTGCTCATCACGCACACCAAGTGAACCAAAGGAGATGCATTGAAATCTCATTAGGATCTTATTGAGACCCATCAGTTCAGTTAGCTTTAGCTATCAGGAGTGAAAACACAATTTACCCAGGGCAGAGAGCATTAACTTTTCATCACTAAAAAAGCCCACACTTACTTACATGAAAGAATAAAGATTTTTATAGCAGTATAGCAGAGACTGCCTGCTTGCAGCGAAGTCTACCAGTCTCATGCTATCAAACAGTCTTCCTCTGGCTCAGGGCTGCATACAGGGGGTTGGGCTGCACAATCTCCAAGCCCTTCAACTTTTCCCTCATACCTTCTTCTCCCACTCGTTTTTCAGGGAGTCGGCGCTCTGATCCGACATCTTCTTCAGCTCAGCAACCTGCTTCTCCTTGCTCTCGCAAATGACCTGGGATTCCCGCAGCACACTTTGAACTGTGGAAGGGCAAACACGCAGACACACAAAGAGCTGTCAGGCCCTGCCTCAGGGTATGTACATAGATGGACACACACACACACGCTCATTGATGCCCTGTCAGTAAATCAATGTCAATAAAGATATTGCTTCTATCAGATAGCCAGTAGCACTACTCTTTGCCAAGTTTCAATGCTTCTCATCAAATGTTTTTAGAAACAGACAAAAGAGTAGAGAAGAGAGGTCTGAGGGAAGACTAAATTAAGCAGGCCCACTTTAGATTGAGCAGCACAGCTGGAGAACATCTCTCCACAGCAGCGTTGTCAGTTGTGGAATTGTATTTTTTTTTACGCTGAGTGTTCAGAGACACTAATATAAACATCCTTCCAGTTAACCCTGCAATCCAGTGACCTCTCACCTTTCTTCTCCAGCTTACGGATCATCTCCTCCGATTCCTTCTGCTTGGCCCGGTACGCACTCTTCATCTCCTCAATCTCACCATTCTTTCGGTCCAGAATCTAAGGTTGGACATGGAGACTGTTTTTAACACTGGAGAATATTCTAATGCTGAGAAAATAGCTATCTTGCATATATTGTGGTGGTTAAAGCGTCTTTGTTGAAGCTTTTTACTTTTCACCAGTAGCTATCAAAGTAATCAACCAAGTTTTCCATGCAAAGTTAAGAATTTCTGCTAATCTGTCAAAAAATACTGACCGCAAACAACAACAACAAAAAAACTTTATTACACTCACAGTACAACTAACAACACCTACATTTAAATAATCAATGTTTTCTGATGATGTTAAAGGTTTGTTTCCATTGGTAATGTTCGTGAACACTGCAACAAAACAGCGCCCTATTGTCAATCCTGATCATTCCACAAAAACAAAACAGATATTTCATCTTTAGATTTGGTTATTTATAGGGACATTTTGTAAACATGATTCACTGTATGACCTGACGAGACTTAATCTTCCACATGCCTGTCTAATCCTAAGGAGGCTATGGCTTAACTGATTGAAATGGCATCTGAGTGAACCACCTGTGCTGAGGTGCGATGAGGTAACTACATCTGCTTGCTGCTGCCATCTGTGAGTAATTAGTTAAATTAGGCTAAGGAGAGCTCAAGTGCAAAAAAAGGACAGTCTAGCATTCTCCATCTAGAGGAAGACAGTGTCTTCGCTCAACTGCATAATGAGTGTATACAGTGTATGTACATTATGCAGTTGGTCTAGGGTTGCTTGTGTCTGCTGGCTGTTGTGGCAGAAGGCACATTTTTTAACAGGTTCTGAACAAAGGGTGGTTTTCTGCCCACACAGTTTCTTGTGAAATGACGGTACAAGGCACACTAAATCCACAGTCAGCTGTCCTAATGTCACCTTAACAAATTCTACTCTCTCAATGAAACTGAATCATCTAGCTACTTGAACTGTTAATCTAAAGCGTAACTGATAATAGTAACGGTATTACCCCTGCAATTAACAAGACAGAACAAAACAGACTGGTCGAACAACAGACAATGCTTTGATTTTATGACTGAAATGGCAGAAAGTAAGAGTGCTTATTTTTCCGTCAAGAACTGTCCCAAAGCCCAAAAGACTTTCTTTCTAGTATTTTGTTCTGTCCAAGTGCACTTAGTTGCCAAGCCTGTCATCCTCTGTGTGGGATGGGGGCAGATCAAAGAAGGCTGCGGTGGCTGGAGCAAAGTTCAAAGAACATTTAGGGATACCCAATTTTTTTCATTTTCACCAGCCCAGAGACACTGTTGTCTTTTTAGGGGTCAACCAAGCGAGGCGATGACAAAGTGTCAGGTCCAGGGAGAGTGCACTAGACGGTGGGAAATGACAGCTTTTAGGGTGCCCATTTTAGGCTTCATACATCCTAATGCAGGGGGAATCCAGCCTGGTTGACTTTAACCAATACCATGAGTGAATGGAGAGTAACTGAACTGGGGAAGAAAACACACCTACAATATCTGGAGTTAGACCATGAGTACACTTTCTGTACACACAGAGAAACACAAACACATTTCATAACAAAAACACTTATTTAATCCCAGTGGCATTTAAAACAAAATGCATTTGTTATTAATGACCATGTATTGTTTTCTAGTTTACGCCGTGGTCTACTGTTAATCTCAGATTTTAACGTAAGGATGTGCTTCTTCCCCTGAGGTTATTAAATCTTTCAGAACTACACACAGTACTGATTCACAAACATTAGCGTACAACGCTCAGGCCTGTTCTCTCATTACCCTCTCCATTTCAAGCACGGGGACAATGACCAGTAGCTTTCAGCAGCCTCTGCATTATTCATAAAGAGACTAATTAAAACTAAACCAAACCAAGATTGCCCACCTTCCATCAGGCTCATCAGCGTGCAACCCTGAATCTCTCCCCTTTGAAGCTATTAGAGAGGATACTAGGAAAAATTCCTAGGAAATTAAATCAGACATAACTCGCAATCTGTATGTAATTAAAGAGAGGGAGAGAGAGCTGGCTGCCACCCTGTCTCTTGTCAAACACAAAGAAGCATTGGGCATCTTAAAGTGGAGAGAAAATTGAAGTGCTTTTTTCTGTTTTATTAAAAGCTTCTGTGGCAGCAAAGGAAAGTCATAGCGAGGACGTGACAGATCCCAGGTGCTTGATCTGCAGCCTGATGGGCACCTAGTGCGAAATAAACCAGCTTTTTTCACTGCTATTTTCACCAGCTGACAAAGAGCTTTTGAAGAGCGGTTTATTTGCGTGATGGGGTGATGAAAAAAGGATAGGCTCATTCCCTTTCCTTTTCATTAGCCATCAAATGCAATCAAGAGTCAATGATAGGCGTAGTTAACTAGTTTTCATGCGCACTCAAGTTAACAGACCTGCCTGTCCAGTTGCAGAAGAAATTATTGAGTCATTTGAAGCTCTTATGTGTTATTTTACAATATAAGATGAATCCATGAGGATTCTGCAAACAACTTTCACTTATATAGTGGATATTCTACTAATTCTGTGTCAGTTTCTCTTTCTACACAGTTTAGGTTTATGCTAGGATTCGCTACCTTCGAGTTTAGATTCTTACTTTCTCCACATCTGCATCATGTCTCTGCTGCATCTTCAGTTTCTCCTCCTGATGTTTGGCCTCCATAAGTTTGATCTTCATCTCAGTCTGGAAACATAGAAAACACAAGAAAGTCATGTAACACTATGACTCAAGCAAAGCAAAAAAAAAACAAAAAAACAATCTGCTTGAGGGGTAAAATATTATTTATTAATTACCAGACAACACAAGCAACAAGTTTTGTTCTTATAAGTTAAACACTGAGGTCTGTGTCCTAACTGTTCTTTAAAGAGACAAGCCTTGGAAAAAAAAAAAAGCATCCAAAAAAAGCAGTATCATATAGTGTGACAGGATAACAGAAATAAAAGAAATCTGGATGAAAGACGTTACCGTGTGTCCCGCCTTGCACACAAGCGCAGATGATGAAATAAACTACATTAACTTTTAAAAACATTTATCCATGCAACAAGAGCTTCAAAAAATTGTGTGAAGCTGAGATGTGCTCAACTGTGTGCGATAAAATTTTCAGTCAGTCTATAGTACACACAACAAGGTGAAAGCGTTTGTTTGTGTCTACTGCATACACATGGCAGTTGATCATGAAGAGTGACTGTTTTCATTTGAACACCGTTTAGAGGATCAAAAGTTCAGCGTTATCATGCACATGTTGAAACAGCTCTCCTTAAGCCAGTGTTTGTCAAATAAAACCCTAATGATCTACTCATCACCTACTTTAATTGACTAAGAAATTTTTTTATGGTCTCTTTATACAAAAGGAGCTATTAGTCATTCGTCCCTTCTGGAAAGTAATTATCACGTCTCTGCCAAGACAATATTATTCACAAATATGGCTTTGAAAGGCGTTCCCCTTTGAATGACTACATTTCTCTGCAGAGAGACAATAATACTCAATGACAGACTGAAGTGTATGAAGTCATTGATTAGTTGAAGAAATCCTGTGACAAAAGTGAGCTAAGAACCATAGAAGCACTGTGAGGCTATACTGCTCATTTTGCTACTGAAAAAAGGATACACTTTTTCCTGAATGCATGCCAAAGAAAAGGAACATGTTTTGTAAAATAAAAGTGGTTTATCCTCTGGTATGTATGAACATGTTTAGAGATTTGCATGGCAGTATTTATTTTTTATGGCCTGTGGCTGGGGCTAGAGAAATTCATCAATTCATCCTTTACATAACAATGATCTATTTTTCAGTCCACGTTTAAAATACACTTTTTAGTATGTTTCACAATTTACATACATCATTTCTTTTGTAAATCACATTTGCTTCTAAAAATCTCTTCCTCAGCTTTTTTCTAGATAGTTCTAGCTACTTTCCATTTAGTTTGTTAAGTATTACATGGAAGATGTTTCTGCTCGCAAACACATGGAAATATAAAGAGAACCCTTTGACGGACAGATGACTGGCCATTTGCTTTGATGTCGCTACTCATGTTTAGTCACTGTCTGTTTCTGGTGCATTAATCAACCCTGAAGCAGGGTGACAGTGTTCTTCCTTTGAAAATATGGTTGGGTGTGTGAACGTGTCGGTGGTTAACAACATCCCAAGGGCTAGCTCTTGTTTGTTACAGTCATCAAAACAATTAAGTAGAAAATCCCCACAACATTACTTTACACAGTAAAACCGCATTAGACTTTCTTTTGGTATAAATCAAAGGCAAGCAGCTGTGATGATGGTCTGAATAAAAATATGATTCAATTACAGTATGGTTAAAGTGTATAAATATTGATACAACACAGACATCAACAGCATCCTGGATGTTAGAGAGAAAATATATATCCATGCTTTGAGACTGAAATGGTGGAATCTAAACCCCAAAGAGCTCAGGTTTGGTAAGATGTCAGCACTTCACTTTGTGTGATCATTCTGAGCAGCATTAAAAATAAAAGTCTAGAAGTGTCTCCTCATTACTGCACTTCAGCTACATTTATACACTGTATCCTTGACAAAGTGCTGTTAAGTATTCTGTCTCTTTCTTCAATGTCTTTTTTCTTGATTTACCACGGTTTCTTGTGCAATTGGGGGGGCCACGGGAGACCTGTCAGAGTAGAAAAGAAAAAGCAAAAGATGGTGAGAGAAAGAGAGAGGGAGAGAGATGGCAGTGATTGAAAAGCAGAGTAAGTGGAGACCTGATTCTGGCGCACCCCTCCCCCCCAAAAATAATAATAAATAAAATAAAAATATAAATAAGCACATATGGGGGTGTCACTTTCTCATCCTCTCTTCAAATGGTCTTTGGAGAAAGTTTGTCAAACTAGATCAGGGGTGTTTGAAACTTGTTTATAAAAGTGCCAGTGAAGGAAGGAGGAGGAGGAATGTCGTACACCTAAGGCGTCTGAGATGCCTTCAATCAGCCCGACTGGGTGGTACAGCTTTTTTGCCTCTTCTCTTCTTCAGAGTTGTAGCGAGTGCTGTAAGATGCCATGTTTTTTGACACTTCGCTCTTGAAAGGATGAGAGGGAAAGGGGGTGGGGGGGGTGGGTATAAGAGAGGGAATGCAAGGCGGAAACAGTTGCTTTTTCTGCTCTCAAAAGCTGGCGCGGGGGTCAAGGCCCTTTTCCTCAGGGGGGATGTGCACAAATCGTCTGCTAACTGTTTGGGCTCCACAAAGCAAGGTTGCGTTTGTGCAACTCCTTCGTCTTGCCTGAGATGTACAAGGTCCTGGTGCCTCTTTCATCCTCAGTAAACACAGATGCTCTACGATAGTCAGTATGCAGCGTTCTGCTATCTACCGAGGAGCAGCTAGATGCCATTTCCACACTCCGACAAGAAGTTAATTTAGTGTAGTTTGTCCAGATAGCGAGGTTGGATAAAAGGTTGAAACTCTGACACATGAGAAAAAAAGTTTTAGAGGCGGGTAGTTCCAAACACAGAGTCAGTAAACAGATAATAACTTGAAATTACTCATGTGAATCCATCAAGTCCATAAGAATCAAGTACAGAGGACAGAAATGCCTAAAATAGTAACTTTATCATTATGGAACACTGTTGGTCCCTTGTGTTTCCCAGCCTGAAGTGCCATCTTGAAAGCCAAATGATAGAACTAGTCCCCTCTAAACTACTACGGCTCGCTAGCTTGCTCTGTTTTAGCTTTGAAAAACGTTCAGATTAGACTGGCTATGGCCCTCTAAATCACAGGCTGAGAGCTCAAGCTACATCCCAGAGGATCCTTAGATTAGAGAGACTGCATCATTATGGCAACGGAAAGAAAAGGGGCCTGATCCCCAGTCTGGGGCTTGTGACCATTAGAGTGTGACTGCTTGACATTAACACTTTCATCTGCCATGCTGTGCCTGCTGCCAACTATCTCTCTGGTCAGGTACCAAGGGGTTAGTTTGAAGATGGCATGAACACACTCGCACACAAACTTTAAAAAGAAATGTGGGGTGCTTTAATCAGCCTGTCAGCATCTCCCTCTGTAATCACATGACTTGTGCCTACGCCTGACTCATCAGTCGCCATTTAATTGAATTTCCAAAGAAAGACCCAGCCCTCATAATGCTGTTGAGCACTGCTAGGGTGTGCTGAAGGATTAGCAAGACTTTGCTGCTCCTGCCAGACATTTTCCACAACTCACCCATAAGCAAACACGCTGTGTAAGCTAAGTGACTAAAAGCAGTGTTGGCTTGCGGTGAGGTTTCTCAGCTGCCACTCATTGTTCTATAGGAAAAGAGCAGTCAGCATTCTTATCAATACAGTTGGTAGCTCAGCGAGAGGATGAGCTTGGCGTGAAAGCTGAGATGTTCGTTAAGCTGTCGCCAGCTTAATGACATGTGGCGTATATAACTCTCTAAACCTGGGTAAATTTTCAACTAGGCTTTGGGGATTAAAGGGAACTGATGTCACTGTGATTTTCTAGACTGGGCCTAGACAGCCACGCAATAGCAGGGTTGGACAAGGCTTCCATGGTTCTGCAGGAAAGCTTAACATGGCTGTTGAGGACGATATAGTTAAGGTGGGATTGGTGGCTTGAGTCACTTGTATAGGGAAAAACTGTGTGCGTGCGTGTGTGTGGTCACAGCTGTATCCTGTGGGGTTCATAGTTCCTAAAATACACCCAACACTCTTTTAATTGCTAATGGTGACTCAAGACACATGATCAGTGAGGTCCTTCATCTTCAATGATAAAAACTAAAAGAAAAAGGGGCTTTACAATAGCAACTCATAAACCACAGACCTATTATGATTTCAGGGCAGATGGTACAGTCAACAGGGAATTCCCAGGACAGTACAATGGGAATCAGACATGCATTGGGGCAATTCACCAGTTCCAGGGAAGGTTCTGCATAACAAGGCAGAATCACATGCCCTGGACCCAGAGCCTATTGCTAAACAGTATGAACAACATAAAGTGTCGACAGCCATGCTAGTGGCTCTGTAAAACTGTACTTGGATTAAATGCCAACATTGACATGCTAACATACACTTGGTAACGATGCTAACATGCTAATGTTTAGCAGGTATAATTCTTACCATGTTCAGCATCTTAGTTAGAACGCAAACACTTGCTAATTAGCATAAAAATGGGGCAGCTGAGGTTCAGAAGGTAGAGTGTGTCATCCACTGATCACAGGGTTCGCAGTTCAATCCCTACCTCCTCCTGTCCACATGCCCAAGTGTCCTCGGGCAAGACATTGAACCCCAAACTGCTCCCGGTGGTTAGCTGGCACCCTGTGTGGTTACTGCTGTATAATTGTGTGAATGGGTGAAATGAGCAGCAAAAAACTTGTAAAGCACTTTTTTTTTACAAAAAAATTAACAGCTGAGGCTGATAGTAATGTAATTGGTTTATGACCGGCAAATCTAAAATATTGGAGAAATTCTAACACAATGTTGATGAAAAGTTAAGTGTCGCCACAGTGATTATAATTCATCCAGAGGGGGACATGAATGTGTGTAGCACATGTCATGGCAATCTATCCAAAAGTTGTTAATACATTTCAATAAAAAACACAAATGTCAACCTAATGGTGGTGGCTAGAGGAAAAGGCAGGGGATCACCAAAGTAATAAGGATTCCTCCTCAGGCAACCATGAAGGTCTGAACAACATATGATGACAGTCCATCCAGTAGTTAAAGAGATTTCAGTCAAGACCAAAGAGGAGGACCAACTGCCTAACTAACTTATCTGTCCCTAGAGACGCTATCATGGCTTAAAAGCACAAGCACAGTCGGTTGGCAGTAACTTCTATAAGCCTTGGAAGAATAGAAGTTAAATCCAGGACAAACACACTATATCTTTCAATAGTCTACAACAGATTGACAACTGGCTATAGTAGGCAGACAGCACAACCTTAAGCAGCGTGGGGGGAAAAAACTCAAGTTCTGCACAATTTCCTCTCATTTCCCAGTGTGTCCCTCCCAATGTTTCTCTGTGACTTTCTTGAACTGGTTCCCATATTGAGAGCATTCTGGCCTTGTGGAAATGACAGGCCAGCTCTGTTTCCTACAGCTTGCCTCTGAAAAAGTGAATGCTCTTATTCAACGCCACCTACACACAAACTTAATCTGTAAGTTTTTTTTGTCCACTATACATACTACTGACATATGAGGTGGACAAAATATAAATACAAAATATAAAAATACCATTAAATACAGCCTCATCATCGGACTCAATGTTATCATAAACTGAACATTACAAGCTTCACCCAATACAATTTAGTGCAGGGATACTAAAGTGAATTGCATTACTGTAGATTGTACTAGTGTACCTGATAAACTGCTAACTCTGTGTATATCCGAGTAAAGCTGGTGTTGAGGTCAAATATGTCTTCTGAGATGTGATAAATTTATATTCCCAACACACACAGCCTTATGTAGCCAGTCAGCTAGTCTGGGGCAGGATCAAACAGCATGGGACGTTGCTTTAATGTTTTCGTATTTGTGTTGCTACATTCAATATCATCCCACAGGTAGACCCACCGACAGGGTGAATGTGGATGTGGAAGGGAGGGAGTGTGTGTGTGTGTGTGTGTGTGTCCACGTATATGAATCCTCCTTTAGCAGTCACAAACAGATCAGTATTAATGGCAGGTCGATAAGCAAGACCATTCTTGCCCATCATGTCCTTGCCCTTTCTTCCCCTCCGTTCTCTGCCCTCTCCCGTTGAAGCCGATCTAACTGACTGGAGCGCTTTCCCCGAGCAGACATGAAAAGCCACGGCTATTACAGCCAAGTCATGCTCAGTTTTATATTTAACAGTGCGGGTAAAAGGGGATGGGAGGGGGGGTAGATTGGTGGTTCAGCAGAAGTGGGGAGGGGCAGAGGGGACTTCAAAGCATGCTTTCACAATGGGATTTCCAGCTTAAATCCACATAAGGAAAAAACCGTCATCACTAGGAGCTGGCATTATTTTTGTCTTCTGAGAAGAATGCTCGCCTCGGCCATTTCAACAATACAAACTATGCACAAAGATGTATGTACATGGCTGCGGGAAGTCTAATGCCATGAAGCAGTCAAGTGAGCTTTAACCCCTGTATGTGCTCAACACTTGCTTCTAAACAAATGCTGAGCATACTAAATAGTGAGTTAGAGGATTTAAGCTTACTGGAATGGATATACTGTCAATGGCAGTCTCTCAAATATCATGTACTGCCTTGAATACACAAAAAAACATATGATTTATCACACATAGAAGGGTGCTCAGGTACTGTTGGGGTTCATTAAGGACTCCTTCTGTGGTGCGTACCTCCTTGCTTTGTACAAGCTGTGGGCCCTGATCATTGGCCAAGGTGCTGTTCCTCCCAAAGCTTGACTTGAAAATCTACAGAGATAAAGAGGAGCGAAGTTAGGTTGTGAGGTGACTGAGGAGTTCAAAGACAGCACTTTTGTCTACATAACAATGAGTGAACCATAAGGGACAACTTACTGGAGACAAGGGAACGGGCTTCTCTCTCAAATACCGGGGGTTTTCAATCTGAAGGAGTAAATAGAAAAACTTTAGACTTCTCTGTCTCTTCTTCCTCTACTAACAAAGCCTCACCACTACCAGCATCTAACCTCCACCCTTAGTTTGTCATAAACAATGCGGGGAGCACATCAAAAGCTTGGTGCTGTGGCAGGAGTCTCTTCCGTCAACTCTTGTCTGTTTAGAAAGACAGAGAATGCGTCGGGCTACATCAAGGCATTGTGTGTGTGGCCGACTCTGTTTCCGCTCTCAAACCCTCTTTGCTGATCCCGACGCGGCCCTTTTGTCAACACTCAGGACCACTAATCTGTAAGCTATCCCCGGTCCATTTACCATCAGATGGAGACAAATGTGTACACATCCTTGCCAAACACTGACACGGCATACTCTTTGATTATAATATGAAACACAAAAAGGGTGAGCCGCTAAACTACCTGAACGTAAAAGGGCCGCAGGCCAAGTGACGCTGCAGCATTACATCAACACAGCTCACTAACTGTGACACAGACTAAAACAATAATGTGTGTGTTGACAACCTGTTATTTTCCTTCCACTGTTTCATGACCGTTTACGACCCCATTATTTTTCATACAGCATTTCTGTCTCATACATTGAGGCTGTCTGTAGGGGCTGCCAGCTAGCGGCAAGATCACGGCCTTTCGAAGTGGTAGAGCAGGCTTTGGAGATGACAGCAGTGATGCCCAGTAAACAGTTGTGTTGCTAATCTCTTCAACATGGGGATGGAGGAGGAGAAGAAGGAGGAAGAGTTAGAAGAGGAGGGAGAAGAGGAGGTTAGTGAGGGATTCATTCAGTGGTAAAAAAAAAAAAAAAAATAGTATTTAATGTTGTGGCACAACCCACACATAGGTAGCCCAGAATGAATGGGACCTGAAACAACCTCAGAGCTTGGGACTAAAATTGCACAAGGATAAAGTCATAATCTGTTGCTTCAGGATGAGCCAGTGACAGGTAAACTGGAAGCACAGGTATTTTGATCTATTTCACCTGAGTAATGCAAGTAAAAACAGGTCAGACATTTTGTTAGCTGGCACCCAGTAAGCCCTCAACAAAAGGAGACATCTGGCTTGACTGCAATGAGGTTTATTGTAAACTGTAATCCATGTACTCACAGAAAGACACATGCAGACAAACAGACGAGTGCAGAGCAGCATCAGTGGTACGTGCCATGATGTGTGATGAATTGGCTTAAATTTGGCATTGGCATAAAAAATTTAAATCCATATTTACCAAGTGATGAATCAATCAATATCCTTCTAAACTAGTGCCCAGGCTGAAAACAAGAATTGGATTTCTTTTTATACCCACAGACAGCCAGTCATCAGATTTGATTGAGCACGGCCCACAGGGTGAGGAAGACATGTAGACTAAATGCTGTGGTGTAATGCTGGCGCAGTGCGATCCTAAACTTGGAGCACACATATGCCTGTGCGGGCACTTTTTTCTGCTGCCCACACACATGCTCCTGTGTGCACATGCTTGTCCGGCCTCAGAGCTGGCACGGCGTCCTGTGTCATTGGAACCTGACGTGGATGGATGGACGGACGCAGAAGAGGAACAACACTCCACATCACAAGGCCTGGCTCTCCGGCCAAACAAACACACAGTGATTGATGGCTTCCTAGTTTCGGACTAGCGTTGAGCAAGCACACCCACCTAACCACAGACAATGGATGGCCAAGTGGCACTGCATTCAGTATTGTATGAATAAATAGGCCAGGTCTTTACACAGTTTTCTCTAGTATGCTTGCTTTTTCCTCCCCTGGCCTCCTGACAGGCCTGTGTATGATGCACCTAACTCTCCTGTAACACTTAAATCCCATTAGAGATAGTACTCCAGCACACAAGCTACAGATTAAACTGAAAGATGTTACAGATGACTCAGGTTTTATTACTCTTAAAGGCTTCCTATCTGAGACTGAAGCAATCTGCTGTGTACTGTCCAGTATGGCCACCATGCTGACTACACAGACTTTATTAAATTAGAGGTGAAGTGAACAAACTGATAAGGACTTCTTCAGAACATCTAAAGCAAGGCTGAAGATATTCTAGATAGGGTGTCGCTCGGCTGTGCCGAAATACCGTAGGAGCTGGGCGCTTTGAAGCAGTGCATCTATAAAACTTCTGTAAACTTGAAGGGGGTTTGTGTGTGTTTGTGTGTGAAGGAACATCTGTTGATTTTAAAGATGCAGGCTTGGGGGGAGCACTGCCAAGCAATGCCTCTTATCAGCGTCTCAACACAGAGGAGTGCAGAGCTGAGCAGTGCACGGCTTCACGTCTGCAGATAGATACCGCAGATTACCCTAGTACTGAAAGAGAGCAGGAGAGTAACAGAGAGAGAGTCAGAGGAAGATAGATGGACAGGTAGAGGGAGAAAGTGCCAGAGAGAGCAAGAGATAAGATGGTAGAAAAGAGAAAGAGCTGGAGAAAGAGGAGGGGGAAAAAACAGAGGGAGCGAGGCTGTTCTGTGGAAAACATCAAGTGAGAGTAATGTGGGTGAAAGGACAAGCAAATCGAAAGAGACTCTCAGGGTTACGCAGGTGAAGAGATAGGGAATAAATAAGGGAATAAAAGACATGAGGGCAGAGTGCTTATCGAGTCCTAGCCTGGTGCATTCCAGGCAGGGAAGATAAGAGAGGTGAACGCATCTTCAAATGCTAAGTTTACACAATCCGTCTCCCACTCCTCAGCTGAACCTCATGTCCTACAATAGCAGTAAGCTGCCTAAATAAAGTGGCTTCAAGAGGACATAGGTGAAACGGTCTTTACACCCTTTGTTCAGCATGTTTGTGTGTGTAAGCAATGCGGCTAACTCAGCATTATTGCACTACTGATTTAGATCTACTTGCAGGCTCAGGCATTTCACTGTCAGTGCAGATGAGCTGCAGCATGTTGACAGCTGCATGTAACTGAGAAGCTCAAGGCATGCCCCTGGACTCACCCCCAGGTTCCAGCTGTTGAGACGGGCCTCCAGGTCACTGTCATCGGGAGACACATCTGCCTTCAGCCCCCCACTCACCTGAGGAGAAAAAAAGGGGAGTGAGAGATTGTGTAAACAGCGGAAAAGAAATGAAAATTAAGGAGGAGGTTATAAATTAGAGGAGGGAATTTAAATGATTTCTTTGATTGGCAGTTTGGCCCGAGGAAGCGAACAGCAGACAGTGATGGAGGTTTTCATTTTGACACAATATAATTCCTCTCTTGGCAACAACAAAAGGGTTCTTTAAAAGCTCACAGATATACAGTACACCCACATGTGTTCTCCTCCCCTACTAACAGCACTCCACTCCCTCGTTATCTCCATCTCTCCACCCTTTGCTCCCTCTCTCTCCTCCCTCTCACATACAGCACTCCAGATGTTTAGCAGTTCCACATCATTTTAGTCACGCAGTAAATTCCTCAAGACGCCATATGCAGCTCCACTGCCTGTCATTCTTGTTTTCTCCAGCCTTTTGTTGCAACGGGCCTCCGGATTTGTTTTATACAGTATAATTCGAATGCTTCCAGGGGTTCTGTTGATACAAGATCAGTTTACTCAAGTCGAGGCTGGGCAGCAAGGTTGAAATAAGGGAAATATCCAATAAAGTTGAGAGAGCGATAGGGAAAGGAGAGATGTTGTTGAATTTGATTAGGATCTGGTGGAGTGTGGACCTTGGGTGTACCTCAGCGGAACCGCACAGACACAGAGAAATCGCTGAATGGAATAGCTCAGGATTAAATGCCCCTTCTGATTAAAAAGGCATTAAGGTCCCAGAGCCTCACCCTCAAACAAACAGAGTAAACGTTTCATTTCAATATCTAGGAATGCAGAGTATGCAGGTCACTGGCTGTTGAAAGCAGAGTGTCAGTCTCTCTATCGCACCAGGAATTTAGCACATTGTGTTTTAAACACTGATTAGCAAGAATGGCTTTGGCCACAGATGAACTAGCAGTTGTGCCAATGAACTGCACACTCGCTTGTACCGTAAACACATAACAGTAGACTCATGGTGGTTTGATGAACAACACAATAGAAGGCCAAGAAAACACATTTCTTGGTCAGCATCTTACTGTGATTGATGCGGTCCTACATGAAAACACCAGGGTTGGCCCAAATGTCATTTTTTGAGCTTTGACGCTGCGATAGTAATTAAGAGCGAATAATTGAAGCTTCGCTTTGTTACGTTCACTGCTATCGGCTGAGGTCAGGTGCGCGAAAAAAACCTCAATAATCAAATCTCATAATTGAAAATCAAATGTGTACCCAATGGTCAAATATTCGAATATTCGGGTCCAGCCCTAGAAAACATAATGTTCTGTCAAAGCGTGCAATTGGCATGCTGACTGCAGGAATTTCCACCAGAACTGTTGAACTGTTGAATTGAATTTTTATTTCTTTACCATAAGCTGTTTCCAAAGGAGTTTCAGAGAATTTGGCAGTACATCCAACCGGCCTCACAACCGCAGACCACGTGTAACCACACCAGCCCAGGACCTCCACATCCAGCATCTTCACCTCCAAGATCGTCTGAGATGAGCCACCTGGACAGCTGCTGCAACAATCAGTTTGCATAACCAAAGAATTTCTGCACAAACTGTCAGGAACCGTCTCAGGGAGGCTCATCTGCATGATCGTCGTCCTCATCGCGGTCTCGACCTGACTGCAACTTCGCACAGCCATTGAAAAGGAGTGGACCAACATTCCACAGGCCACAATCAACAACCTGATCAACTCTATGTGATACACCCCCCAATACAGTGAAACTGCACATTTTCGAGGCCTTTTATTGTGGCCAGCCTAAGGGACACCTGTGCAATACCCATGCTGTCTGATCAGCATCTTGATATGCCACGCCTGTGAGGTGGAAGGATAATCTTGGCAAAGGAGAAGTGCTCACTAACACAGATTTTGAAAGATTTGTTAACAATATTTGAGAGAAATAGGCCTTTTGTGCACATAGAGAAAGTCTTAGATCTTTGAGTTCAGCTCATGATGAATGGGGGCAAAAACAAAAGTGTTGAGTCTATAATTTTGTTCAGTATATCAATAAAACAGACAAAAAAGAAATAATTTAACTACGTAGCCTACCTAATCATGATAGAAGCACAAAAAACAAGGACAGCTGACCAAATTAACAAAATCTGAACAAGTCAGCAAAATCAGGCAGGCAATATGCGCCTACTCTGAAATGCTCCGTGTGGGATATGTAGCCTGCGGACAGCGGCACAAAACCGGCTCACAGAGAGCCGTTATCTGTAGTTGAAGCACACAAAATGAATTAACAACACGTCAACAACGTAGGGCTTAACACTCCGCTGATGAAAGACTTCAGTGTGAGTTGATGCCGGACAAAACCATGCCACAGCCTCTGACTGTTCGCCGGATGCCATGATCCCACATTATCCTTCAGTTTCATTTGTTGTTGTAAATGTACAAGCCCTGTGCCTGCTCCGAGTAGGACTGTAACAGGATGCGCGCCACTCTTGTGAGTGGTAAGTCTGTCACACAAGGATGACAACGGAATGAATCTGTAACTAAATGACTATTTAAAACTGGTCAGATGCTGTATAATAAAGCTACATTGTCGAATCTTTCAAATCGCAATTTCTTGAACTTTCATGAAGGTAAGTTTCAGCGATGAGTACCAAATAAATTGGCAGCTGAGTGTATGTTACTGTCAAATGTATTGTGATCACAACCATTTTCTCCATTTTGGTTGCTTGAACTAGCAACTTATGAGATCAGGGAATTTCCTCCGTCTTCACGGGGGAATGAGTTCAGGAATTTCCAAATTGGTTCACATTAAAGAAGAAAGCAAAAGACTGTGGCTACTATTTGTGTTGGCACAAGTGGGTTTGCTGTTAATAAGTCAGTGTGCCCTCACCACGCTACCTTCCAGTGAAGCAGAAGTAGTAAAAACCCCATTTCTTTGAATCTTAAGAAAAGTATGCCAGGGAAGTCCAGAGGTGTGGTTGACAGTGTGAAATAAGGCGATGAACTAACCGTCCTGGCATCATGTCTGGGTGACTGTTTGAGTGAACTGGAGGACATGGGTGGTGGCGGGATCTTTTCCTCATACAGCCTTCTCCTGGAAGAGAAAAATGTGAGAGGTTAACCTACAGTATGTGTGCACTTCTCTGGAGTGTGCTCTTGTCCCTCTGTTTGCATATGAATGTGCTTGCGTAGGCAGCCTGCCTCTCTATTTACACAGATCAACATCTGGCATTGGTTGCATGGTTTGTGGTCTGCATTTCATCCCATCTGAACAATAAACGTCTCCATTATACATCAGTTTGTTTCCATGGACAGCCTGCAGGGCAACAGTCAATGGCTTGTATGCTCCTTTTATAAATCACACACCTCAATCATTGTCTCTCATTGGGCCCATCATGGTTTAAACAAGGAGCTTTACAGGGAAACTGCTTTTATTCATTGGAAAACATACACACAAACTTCTCCTTCTCACTGCGCTCGCTCTCTCTCCCCCTCACACACACACACACAGTCATGACTGAGCTCACTATCTCATTAAGCGCAGGCACATGAGGCACTAATGGCCCGCTAATGCTAACTGAATAAAGATGTTAGAGAAGACAGGAAGATGTAGGGCAACAATAAAGAAGAAAAAAATCACTGTCATCTAATAAAGACGTCAAATTCTTTTCTAGAGGGCGCTGTTTCACACTTGGAGCCTATGGGAGTTCATTTCCTCCCATGTAAATTTTTAAGCATTCCTGGTATTGAGCATTTTGAACTCACTTGTCATAGGCAGTGTTATCTCAGAGAGCTAAGCACCATCGCTGTGAGCTTTCTGGATGTGCTGACTACAGAACAGGAAGGACATCAGTGCAAGCGGAGTCACCTTTGTCGTTTGTATCTTTTACCTCTGATCCCCTAGGTTAAGGAACACACATTCAACACCAAGGTTATCCTAAGGCTTATTGCAACTTCGTTTGTTGACTTGAGTAAATATTATCACAGTTTATATAGGTAATCTACCTAGCAGCTATTTCACAACTCAAACTAAAGCATAGAAAGATGGCTCAATTATTGCCATGTTCGTGAAACAGAATTGTAATCCATTTGACTGCAATGGCTCCAGGTACTGTTATAGACTATATTTATGCTATATTTAACCTATAGTTAAATATATAATATTAAACAAATTAATTATTATTAATTTGTTGTATTATTTTACTTGGTACAATGTTTTGATTAGGGACTACTGATATATAACTATGTAACAACAACTAGTAAGATATCAGTACATTACATTTATTCATTTAGCTGACGCTTTTATCCAAAGTGACTTTGGTCACACAATTGCTATACATGTCAGAGGTCGCAGTGTCTTGCTCAGGGACACAGTGGAGGATTGAACCCAGGTCTCTTACACCAAAGGCATGTGTCTTATCCGTTGCGCCATCACCACCCCACATAGTTGGATTCTAGGGATAAGACTGGACTGGTATTAGGACAAAAAAATCACACACATCAAATCCTAGATACTACTATGCTTCAAAAGATCCAACGTTTTAGATGCTCAGCAGGAACACCTCAGTGAGAGCAAGGTATTAATACCTTGAGCTAAGTTAGCCGCTTGTGTTTTTCATGGTAATTACTTAAAAGTGTGTAGTGGCCTGAAGCTGCACAGAGTTATACTGCAATATTTACATTGTGCTTCTGTATGTGTACAGTTGATGTCATGGGGCAGTGTGATGTGATTTATGTACCAGGACGTCTTACACTGACATGCCATGTGTTGTAAATAATGTTAATTGACCTGAGCACCATCAAAACGCTGATACACTTAATTTTACATTCGTTACAATGGGAGGGCAGCTAAATCTTGCAACAAAGGAGGCATATATACTGTACAGATGTCCTTAAATAATAACATTAAAAAAGAAAACTATTACAAGAAAAAACAGATACAATAAACTGCAATAATACGGTTAGGGATTTAATATTGTTTAACTCATTTTTAATTATTATGTTATAACTTCAGCATTCATGTATTCACTCCTCTCTCACATACTGGTTTGTCTGTGCATGTGTGCACACACACAAACACACACCATGAAACTTGGATAAGGGGGCCAAGCTTTAAAATCATGGGCCTCTAAGTCAACAGGTGGATGAGGATAATTGAATCAGATGTGTCTGGAGTCTGAGGCCCAGAGATCAAAGCAGTGGCAAGTCAGGCCAGAGACACACACAAGAAAATGAGAACACCATGTAGAGCCTCACAAGCTGCAGCTTGGCTGATTAAAGCAGCCTGACCTCCAGATGCAGAGCCAGTGGGCCTGGGTCTCAGCCTCGGGCACCCTCAGGAAAGCAGACTGACCTTGGGACACACACACACACACACACACACACACACACACACACACACACACACACACACACACACACACACACACACACACACACACACACACACACACACACACACACACACACACACACACACTAGGGACAAGATCAGTGGAAATACTCTAGCCGTGAGGCACTTACACAAGCATCATTGGCTGACTACTGCAACTGCAAGGACAATGTCATTGTCGCTCTTACCCAGAACAAAAGGTTGCGGAGGGGAGGGAGGTGTTCAGAGTTTTCAGATAAAAAGCACACAGATGCAGGACAGAAGTCAGAGGAAGAGACAATAAAAACCCCTAAAAGTGAGGCTGCCGAAAATGAAAACTAAACTTTAGCAGTGAACTTGACACCAACTGTGCCGATTACCACGTTACCATGTCAAAACCAACCCTCGCCCACCATTTTCTCCCCATGTCTTTTTCATTATGTGTCTCCTTTGAACACAAGGTGACGTATAAGAAGGAGGAGTGGATATGTAGGCTAATCACCAAAGCTGTTTTGTCTGATCTCTTGACCCTCGCCGACTGCACTTGCTTTCCCACAGCATTCCTCTGCCTGATTTGGTGCTACATGAACGAAGCTGTGACTCCATCTTGTGGCTAAATTAGAAATAGCACAGCAATAGTGGAATGCATGGTGGCGTTCGCTCAGGGCATTTTACACTAATGAGGTTACATTATGTTAAACAACACACACATTACAGCACACCCACATCTGTGTGAAACAGAAGTAACACCTCAAAATCATCCCAACTTTGCATTTAGATCTTGAATTGGACCCAGCAGTTTCACAAGCTAGAAGAAGTCCTGCCCATCACCTGACTAATGGTGAGTGAGACAGAGATCAAACGCTGCCACATCACAGAGAGGGAGTCAGACAAGTTCCTTCCATTTAATCTTATCTAAATGAGAAAGACACATAAAAGGACTCTTGGCCGGGCTAATTTTCTCCATCAGGACGTTAGCCTGTGATCTGAGGGTCTTTCATGGTCTTATCCCAATCAGACACTATGGTACTCAGCAGTCTGCTCCCCACCCTCTACAGCAGAGGGGAGGAAGGGCTGTAGCCACCCTGTTTCAAATCACTTGCAATGTAAGCCATAGCATCTATTAGGCAAACAGATGTACGTTAAAAAAAAAACAACAACTCCCTGCTAGACATGGAGTCATAAAGTCAATCAGGCCATGCTGAATTTAATTAAATGATTCAAACTGAAAAGTGAAAGTGATTTAAGTATGCTTGCATGTTACAATGTACTTCTTTTTGTCATTTTCAACTGTTACTAACTCAAAACACAATTAAAACATGTCCCTGCTTGTAGGATGGGGGCTAGAAAAACCAAGTTAAAGTGTGACAAATATTTAAAGACAAGTGCTAATGATCATTAAGAATTAAATATTCTACAACCCCCTGTCAGTAAAATATGAATTACATATGGCAGCAGGGGGCCGGTACTCTTTCTTACACAGTGCCCTGGTGGATATTAAGCTCTCTTTACTACATTTACAGTGCTCTCTTTTTATTATGCTAATGAGCATATCAAGCCACTGAGGTCTAATTTGCCTTTCCTGAGCCATTACTAACATCCCGTTGTCAAACCCCTGAACTGCCTAGAGTCAGAGGAAATATCCCTGAGCAAACTAGGATGACTGATGATTTAGTGCGGCATGTTGAAAGAGTTTACATATGTGTGTGTGTGTGTGTGTGTGTGTGTGTGTGTACACGTGCATGTGTATCTGAGTAGAACAAGAGCTTCCAGACAAGTCATTACTTAAGCAGCACATTTCTAAAGCCAAAATACACATGTATGTGTCTAAATATGTGCATATTGAGGTTTTAGGCAGTTAGCTGATGCTCATACGCGTACAGAAATCAAGCAATTTAAGAAACAGTGAACAAGCTAATGAGCTACAAAGCATCTTTTTCTACTTTCCTCTCTTCTCTCTGGGGTTAGACCTCAGGTTCAACAACTGGGAAAGCGTAAAGAGGAGAATAACAAACATATATAGAGAATACGAGAGGTTCCTCATCCTCTCGTGCTGTTTTGAAGTGCATTTCTTTGAAAAGTCAGAATGGACAGCTCATACAGACTGATGCAAGAACTTGGCAATGTCCTAGGCTTTTCAGACAGTGCTGCTGAGAAAATACGATGGGTGATCAGCCACGACAGCTGTGTATCTCCAGCTTCACAGCCCGATGTTTTCAGTCTGATAAAAGACCATCAAAACAGAGTGCTTGGATAAATATCTTGTGCATTGTACATGTAGCATCTTCTATATCTGACCATATATATATATATTGTCAGTCTTCTCCTCTGAGAACTTAAGTCACCAGCTGGAACAAGGGAAGAGCTCTCTTTTCAATAGACTCTTGTTTGTGCAGGGACACAATACCATACTAGAATGCTCATATTTGACTTCTGACTGTAAAATGTGTTGCATTTCAAAAGAGAGGGGAGCCAGAACCTCTCACTGCCATTTTAATAAGCAACTATAAACTCTTCAAAGAAAAAATTTGTGGATGTTCCACTTGTATGCCAATATACTGTCCAGGGAGATCATTTCATTTGAAATTTAGTTTAAAGGACGCTCACAGAATTAGGTAATTTCTTCACCAGACAGACGCAAACGCACATATGACAGGGGTCTTCTCATGGTGTGTTCGACCCGTGCTGGACCCATTCATATGAGATAGCTGTGAATTTGCATGTCAATGTTAGAAGGTACACTAGTCTGTGGTTTAGTTCAAGATCCTTCACTGATTAATTTTCCCTGAAGTGTGCAATAAAAAAAATACAATTTTAGATAATTTGCCGCTGTGGCTCAGGGGGTAGAGCGGGTTGCCCGTTAATCGGAAGGTCGGCAGTTCAATCCCCGGCTCCTCTAGGCTGCATGTCGAAGTGTCCTTGGGCAAGATACTGAACCCCGAATTGCCCCTGGTGGCTGTTCCACTAGTGTGTGAATGTTAGTTTCTGTGAATGTGTGTGAATGGTGAATGCAGATGTAGTGTAAAAGTGCTTTGAGTGGTCGAAAAGACTAGAAAGGCGCTATACAAATACGGAGCGTTTACATTTACAAAAAGAACCATGACTGACGATAATAAACACAAACGGAGATTCTGTTTCTGCAAAAGAACACCTCAAATATGTTGGACAGTTTAATCAGGAATCATATTAACAGGCCTACTTGCATGCATTGAAATTTATTCTCATAAATAGTGACGTCACTACTCAAGAGGGATGCTCCTTCCTGCAGATCGGTTATAAAGGGGTGGAGCTCTGATTGCCCCTTTCCTCCGGTGCACAAGCGTTGCATGAAAGTGCGTTTTTTACCCACCAAAAAACATGCTTCAGCTTCACCAAAAGGAACGTCAGTGTCACACTGAGTTAAATCTCGTTTTGTAGCTTCTCTGTTAGGATTTGCCTCCTTTTCTTCATGCAGTCAGTATGTATTAATATTAATGAGGGGCGTTTCACTGACCATTTATAGGCAACTATAGCAGCTAAAGGAGCGATTAATTATATTAAACTTGATGCAGTACCTGCGGGATCACTACATAGCTTTGAACACCCAAGTAAAGGTAGGCCTAATACATTATATTGAATAACATAGCAAGTTGGTAGAGAATTAAATATAAACGTGTCACTTACAATCGATGCCGTAGCGGTGAGAGTCGAGCTTTCAGTGCAACGTAAACAAACAACGCAGGTGTAAACTTTCAGACCCACCGCAACGACAGCCCGGCTACGCTTTAAAACCCATTATTTTCAGTGACTTGGTTTGTTTCTGCATCGAGCAACATGCACCGCACGCAAGCTCAGGCGCATGCCGCGGTCAAAGTAGTTGAACTGAGCAGCTTCCACTCACTGCGAATCGCTTGTCTTCTCTTGTCTGTGTTGAGAAAATGTTGCCAGGTGTAAAACACTAACTAACACATCAGGAGCTTATAGACTTTCAGGGCTATAGGCTACCAATTAACTGCATTTCAGTTAACACTGCACTCAATTTCTTTCTATAATTTTCACTAAAACATATGTATGGATGAGAGTTGATGACAGTAACAATACAGTTTACTCCCCTCCTTTATAACAATTTCCCCTGGTGGATAAAAGTTAATATTCCTCTTATATTAATAATACTTAAATATTATAGAAATATAATTGTTAATGTAATTAAATATTAAAAATCAACTTAAGTCATTACTAGTGTTGTGAAATTAATTAATGCATAATAATTGTGAAACCGTGATTATTTCTCTGACAATAATTGTACCAACAAAATCTGGAATCGTTGCATCCCTATGTACGAGTGAAGAAATGTTATGTCGAACAAATACTGTTTTTATTTAACATTTAGAAAAGAGCATCAAAGTTTGATAAGTTCAAAGTTTTGTAAATTATAATAAGTTTTGAAATAAGATGCCCATGTATAATAATGCAGGTCAGAGTGCTGAATTTCCCCTATTTAGACCCATGTACATTGTACCATAAAATCTGGTTCCAAGTCAGTTTTTTATAACCTGCATTACTATGCACAAGTGCATAATAATGATCAAATCTATAATGTCCCGCGACCCTGTACGCAGGATAAGTGGTTAACGATGGATGGATGGATCTATAATGTCACCATGTTTATGTATGTAGGTTTTTTAAAAAGTCAGGTGATTAATTGTTATCGCCTAGTTTTATTTAGGCACAATTTTTGAAAGGTAAAGCTATATGTATTTAACTGAGGTAATGTACAGTGGAATGATACCTGTGATTAGCTGCGACAGGTGTGGAACTGGTTCTGTCTTTAATCAGACCAAAAGCCAAACTGTCATCAGTGTAGCCTCCCAGCTCTCCTGTCACCCAGTCAGGCAGACCCGCATTGCTGTGCTCCACAGACCGACCAGCCAGTGGCTCATCAAAATAGATAGACTAGAAAAGAGAATTCAAAGACAGCAGATGAAGACAGAGTTAAATATGTATCAGTAGCCTATGCTACCCTTTGCAATGATATTTAATGAGTTGCAACTGCATCAGAATCAAGCTAGAATATTTTCTATAAGTGACTTTGTGGATGTTTCCTCCAAAAAATGTCTCTTCATTTAAACTTGAATATGACAGCATTTTTGAAGTTCATTCTGCTACAAATGAATATGCAAAAGTGGTTTGTAAGTTGTGTTACTTCTAGATGGAAATACAGCAATATTTATAATTGATGAAGCAGTCATTCTTACCATGTAGGTAGGGAGTGTCTTGAGGCTGCCAGGCTCTGGTTTGCTGGTGAAAGGCAACTCCAGGAACCCTCTTTTGAGCATGTGAAGGAGCAAACGGGCATACATGTTGCGGTTCTTATGGCCTATCAGACCTGAACCACATGTGGCCGGGTCACACAGCTTCTTTATCCATATGGCACATCGCTGGCGCTCTGATGTCAATGGAAAGAGAGGGGCAGGGGAAATATGCACCAGCTAATTCAATATATGCATGTATTATACTGTCAGTTAATGTATTGGAGTTGTCTAATTACATTAATTTGCTTAGCGTAGTATGAGAACAGGACAAAACAGAGGCTAATTAAGTTTACTACATCAGTGATGCTTCATGTGTTTAGTGAGGATGGAATGAAATCTCACCTGTCTTGTTGGGGTGTCGAAGAACATACGGCTTCATGTCCAGTAGAAGACGGTCAAACTCAGTGTCCAGCCTATCCCATGAGTCCTCGTGTTTGCTCATGGTGACAGTTAAGTTAATAAGAAATAACGTCAAGTTACTATTGGCTAGCGTCGTTTATGTTAACTAGCTACAAAAGGCGATTATATTAGAGTAGAGGTCTACTTAAATATGAACTTATGGTAACGTCGTGTCACGTAATGTTAGCATGACGACTAACCACTTCGTAACTATAACGAGCAGTGTTTACAAACTAACGTTAGCTAGCTAACCTACATGCTTGAAGGACTGATATATTAGCAAACGAGCTAAAGCAGACCGGTAAAACACTCGCGGGGCGTTGTTGTTTGTTACAGACTTTCGAGATCAAACCAACGGCACGTTAAACGATGCACATTGTTGATGAAAATGTAGGAAAAGGAATAAAAGGCGACTTACAGTGAGCACTGATTGCACCGCTCAAAATGGTTCAAAACTTAAGCGTCCTCTTTCTACGCCATATCCGTTTTCCGTGGAGACGCAGCGTCTCCCTGTTGCCATAGAAACTGCACATCACTGTCCCCCAAGCATTGGAGTTATTTTGAAAACCGTTTGTTTTTAAGGCAAGATATTTAATTATGCTATATAACTACACTGCGTTTTATTCCCAGCTGTACAATATTAATTTGTGCTTTTAAAATAAACATTAAATGTTGACCAGTAAGGTGAAATATTTGAGACAGTGCCCAGAATCGATAATATGACCACTTTGTTTTGCGGTATTTCGACCGGTTTCTCTGATGCCTGGCTTGATTCTGTTTAGTGGATAGCTTTGTTTCTAATCATTATTTATAGAAGAAATTATTGAGAACAGGTCGTGCAGTAGTCAAACAAACATAGGGAATGCTCTGGACTATAGTTTCTGCAGCAAGTCCGTTGGTGCTCTATTGGGAGTGATTTACAGTGGAAAAGGCATAGCCTACAAGGCTATTCTTAACAAATATGCTTTCTGTATTCTTAAAAAGGTAAAAGAAGTGTTCTTTAAGATATTGCATCAAATTTACCTCACCAAATAATTGTTGCAAAGATATAAACTTAACATTGATTATAACTTTGATTCATGCAAATTGGAAAGGGAAGCTATAGGCCTATTTCATCTATCTATCTATCTATCTATATATATATATATATATATATATATATATATATATATATATAAAACCTAATGTAGGCTATTTGATGTCTATTTTGTAGGCTAGGCTACTCCATTATCTGGACAATTTGAAATATAGGCCTATTGTGCAGCTGCTCATAGCCTACTAAAGTTCCACATTCACAAACTGAAATGGACTGGATCCATACCCTGCATCAATTGGTTTACTGAAATACTACTGCCCCTCAATAGAACAATTTAAAAAATACTGTCAGAAATAGGGGTACAGTAGTAGTCCATTTCTGTCCCCCAAGGTACAATCTACACTAACGTACCCCATTGGGCTTATTATTGGACCTCAAGGTACATATATGTACCTTTTTGAGAATCAAAAAGGAACATATGTGTGTGTCCAAGTGTGTGCCAAGGGTACAAAAGCTGTACCCTTCAGGGTACAGCCCCAGTGACAAGCCATTGTACCCCTAAAGGTAAAATTATGTACTTTATTTTCTGAGAGTGTATAGGCTAAAGACCTAGGCTAAATAAAAAGCGATAAAAAGCTCCAATAGGCTATTCTAGAAGAACGGGATTTAATTTGAGCTTCTAGCAATGTAGCCTAGGATGTAGCGATGAATTGTATGCTTTGCATTTTTGTTGTTGTAATGAACTCTGCATCAATAAAAGTTTAGTAGAGAGAACTGTAGTTTATTTTAAGTCCACAAGATGGCGTTCAACGCCTTCTCTTTGTGGGATGGTGAGCAAGGGATGGAGGGGCATGTCTACTTGGTTCATTCATCATTAAAACTCAAATTTAATTTTAAATTCTGCATACAACCCCTAACATAGCCCGCACTAGTAGCCTACTAGTGGGCATATCTTCCATGTGCTTAGGTGCCCCTCCAAAAAACACTTCTGATAAACTCTAGTGTTTAATTGTGAACTGAAAGTGGAGTGAAATATTCCAGCAGCACGTGAAGGCAGACCCCGCCGACGTCACTTTGAATGAAAAAGAAGCGCTCAGCTGTAGTGCGGGCAGAGGGGAGGCGTGCGGTGTGTCAGGAGCGCCCTGGCAGAAACAGCGTTACTTGTCAAGAGCTGTGAAGACACAAGGACCTCACAGAAACTGGTCGGGACAACACGAAGTTGTGGTTGTGTAGGGTTTTTGGTTTTGGTTCCCCCATTATGGCTGACCATCTTCTACATTATAGTGACTCAGCTGGGGTCGGGAATCGATTCGCCCGCAAAGGTGCTTTGCGGCAGAAAAATGTGCATGAAGTGAAGAACCACAAATTTACTGCGAGATTTTTCAAGCAGCCGACGTTTTGCAGCCATTGTACAGACTTCATATGGTGAGTCTCACTCCATGCACACTTGTCTTTTGAACAGCACATGCTGCCTGTCCAGTCAGTTTTGGCAGGATTATTTCTCATATATGCAAAACAGCAGCTATTCGCCATGCTTTGGGTCTTCAGTAACCAAAGTTTGTTCTAATGGCTTAGATGTAATCGAGGTTTTGTGCCCCTCAGTGCGTTCCATGGGTTTACTTGCAAATTAGTAACATTAACCAGTCTACAAAAGTTATATACACACCTTTTATATTGCTGCAAGGCAGAATAAAGCATCTCTATTTGTAACACTTGTGTTTTTGTTGCAGGGGATTTGGGAAACAAGGATTTCAATGCCAAGGTAAACCAATTGCATGCATGTGTGTATGTAGCGGAGATTCCAGTGTACTAGAACGCCACATTCCCTGTAGATAGCCAAGCTCCATACTTCACATTGAAAGCAGAGAAGTTGAGCACTTGTTATTTTGTTTATACATTGCCATTTGTTAGTCTTACTCAAGCTAAGCCTCCATTTATGCATTTTGCAAATTATGTTTTAAATGGTTCCATGAGCAAAGACTATGACATTGCAAATGTAGTTGTACAAATGAAAAGCTTCGGTTGGAAAACATTTTATTTTGACTTTTCAGTGGATGTCATTCTACAAGGAAAAAAAATATAAAGCAGGTAAATGTGTGCAGGACAGTTTATTTGAATTGCAAGATATTAAAGTGAAACATTTAGCTGCAGCTTTGACAGAAAATCCATGTTTGTCATCTCTTGACTCTGGAAGACAAACCTTATTGATTAGGAGTCATTTCTGTAAAAGAACATATGTTCAAATCAAGTATACATTTAAAGATCCCTTGCTCGGCCATACCCTCCTGCTGTGTTTGAGATGGTGCCATAACGTTGAGAAGGCTCAGTATTCTGTGAGGGATGTGGAAACACATCCTCATAGACAAGTTGGGGAATGTTACTCGAGTCACCTCCAGCTGCACTAGAGCCAGTGTTCAAGTCAATCACAGCCTAGCCACCGCTGACTGGCTCATGCTGCCAAGAGTTAAAACTAGGAGACTGTGCGGCTTGAGGGGTAGGGATGGGGCAGGCTCGTGGTAGGCTGGCTCATAGTTGAAAGCTGCGCCATCTGCAGACACAACACTGTGTGGTATTGGAGGTTGGACAGGGGCTGGCTGACAATTTTCTGGATGACTCTGCAAAGAGTGGCAAGGTCAATGCTTTATCTTCTCCAACACACATGTTACGTGAGTCAGGCCCATATGGATGCCCATACCCTGTAAAGTTAACAAGATGAAACAAGGTGTGTCTGGAGGCCTAAGAGGTAGTCATTAAGAAGAAAGTCATTACCTTTCATAGTTGGCAAACCAGTACTTCCATTAAATCGCAAGAGACAAATACAGGAAACCCTGTACAAGAGGCCAGTAGAAAACAGGCATCTGATTGAAGTTTCTCTGTTAAAGGTAACTCAAAAAAATAAAGTGCTCAGAGACTCACAACATGAATCAAATGTCCCCCCCCCCCCCCCAGGTGTGGCAGGTGGACAACACCACCCATTGTTTCAGTGTGAAAGTCACTCATGTAAGCATCCTAAATGTGTGCTTTATACTAAAATATTTTCTGATTTTGTTTATCTAAACACCTTTCTTTGAGCACATTTCTTAAGCACTTCTTAACAGTCAAAAGGCCATTGTAGATTTTCACTTTCACTTTCAGCTTCTGCAAGGAGTCAGGGTGCCACATGTGCACTGAAATCAACACCCTTTTGCTGGCATCGTGGCCAGTGTAGCATTTCTCTCTAGACATATGATACTGTGTCAGCTAAAGGGGAGAATGGAAAGGGAAAGGTTGAGGAGCGAACGAGACAAAGATGAAAACAGGAAGAGTTATAAGTATTACTGAGGTCAGATTAAGGTTAGATCACCTGTGAGGCACTTACAGGTGCTGGTCATATAATTAGAATATCATCAAAAAGTTGATTTATTTCAGTAATTCCATTCAAAAAGTGAAACTTGGATATTCATTCATTACACACAGACTGATATTTCAAATGTTTATTTCATTTAATTGTGATGATTAAAACTGACAACTAATGAAAATCCCAAATTCAGTATCTCCAAAAATTTGAATATTATTTAAGACCAATACAAAAAAAGGATTTTTAGAAATGTTGGCCAACTGAAAAGTATGAACATGAAAAGTATGAGCATGTACAGCACTCAATACTTAGTTGGGGCTCCTTTTGCCTGAATTACTGCAGCAATGCGGCGTAGCATGGAGTCGATCAGTCTGTGGCACTGCTCAGGTGTTATGAGAGCCCAGGTTGCTCTGATAGTGGCCTTCAGCTTGTCTGCATTGTTGGGTCTGGCGTATCGCATCTTCCTCTTCACAATACCCCATAGATTTTCTATAGGGTAAAGCTCAGGCGAGTTTGCTGGCCAGTTAAGAACAGGGATACCATGGTCCTTAAACCAGGTACTGGTAGCTTTGGCACTGTGTGCAGGTGCCAAGTCCTGTTGGAAAATGAAATCTGCATCTCCATAAAGTTGGTCAGCAGCAGGAAGCATGAAGTGCTCTAAAACTTCCTGGTAGATGACTGCATTGACCTTGGACCTCAGAAAACACAGTGGACCAACACCAGCAGATGACATGGCACCCCAAACCATCACTGACTGTGGAAACTTTACACTGGACTTCAAGCAACGTGCATTCTGTGCCTCTCTTCTCTTCCTCCAGACTCTGGGACCTTGATTTCCAAAGGAAATGCAAAATTAACTTTCATCAGATAACATAACTTTGGACCACTCAGCAGCAGTCCAGTCCTTTTTGTCTTTAGCCCAGGCGAGACGCTTCTGACGCCGTGTCTTGTTCAAGAGTGGCTTGACACAAGGAATGCGACAGCTGAAACCCATGTCTTGCATACGTCTGTGTGTGGTGGTTCTTGAAGCACTGACTCCAGCTGCAGTCCACTCTTTGTGAATCTCCCCCACATTTTTGAATGGGTTTTGTTTCACAATCCTCTCCAGGGTGCGGTTATCCCTATTGCTTGTACACTTTTTTTCTACCACATCTTTTCCGTCCCTTCGCCTCTCTATTAATGTGCTTGAACACAGAGCTCTGTGAACAGCCAGCCTCTTTAGCAATGACCTTTTGTGTCTTGCCCTCCTTGTGCAAGGTGTCAATGGTGGTCTTTTGGACAGCTGTCAAGTCAGCAGTCTTCCCCATGATTGTGTAGCCTACAGAACTAGACTGAGAGACCATTTAAAGGCCTTTGCAGGTGTTTTGAGTTAATTAGCTGATTAGAGTTTGGCACCAGGTGTCTTCAATATTGAACCTTTTCACAATATTCTAATTTTCTGAGATACTGATTTGGGGTTTTCATTAGTTATAATCATCAAAATTAAAAGGAATGAACACTTGAAATATATCAGTCTGTGTGGAATGATATACATTATACAAGTTTCACTTTTTGAATGGAATTACTGAAATGAATCAACTTTTTGAAGATATTCTAATTATATGACCAGCACCTGTATACACAAAATAGAAACAAAAGTCCATCCATCCATCCATCCATCATCGCTTATCCTGTGTACAGGGTCGCAGGGGGCTGGAGCCAATCCCAGCTGTCATCGGGCGAAAGGCGGGGTACACCCTGGACAGGTCGCCAGCCCATCGCAGGGCAGAAACAAAAGTCATTATATCAAATAAATTAAGTTAATAGAAATGAAATGTAATATGTGTAATGTCTAATTAAAGTTAGATATTTTACTTTCTGATCGTGGCACCTTTCCTCCATTTACATGTGTAAGTACATAAATAGATGCGTGGCACAGCAACTTTATTTCCACACGCTTTGCAAGATTACTGCCAGTGAGCTTAAAGTGTGACCTGTGCCAGACACTGAAAATGGCTTGATTTACTGTAGAGTTGCTGTGCATTTAGAAGGTGGCAATCTTAAGCATACACAATGAGTAGAGGCAGAATGCACCTCATCAAAAAAAAAGTTAAGTATATGAGAGCCAACCATGTATTGATGAATGTGTGGGTATAACATTGGATGGCTCTGACCATTTCAAATAAATGCCATTCTGCTGTGGGGTACATTGTCTGAAAGTATAGCGTCTTACTCTCAAACCTGAGTGAAAAAGGCAAAGGTGTACATCTCGCTCCCACTTTACCTATACCTTTGCACCAGTTACTGGCATGTGTGTCATGCCAGCAGAGTGTCATTCTGCATAGTGATACAGCAGTGAGAAGATCTGTGGCTTTAACTCTCTGCTGAAACAGTGCCTACCCTATGTCCTACATGTTTAAATCAAACCTCTTAACACCAGATTTAGAAAGTCACTTTCAGTTCTTAGGAGATGGGGATATGACTTCATATGTTGCTGTTGTTGTGCTCATGCTTACAGTATGTTGTGCATATCTGTGCTCTTTAATGCATGTATAAAAGTGATCGCAGTGCCTAGAGATAACAAATCATGTTGCCTTTTTGTCTAAATGAATATGTATTTCAAACTCCTCACGTGTACAGGGGCTGGACTGTCCATGCGCAGCACTGTTTGCCAGTGGAGCTTGACCATGAAGGCATCATGGAATTGGGCTGACAGATACATGTTCCTTGAGTGTGCATAAGGAACTGCTACCATATTGTGGGTTAATCCCCAGAGAACTTGACAAACAGACCTCTCTCTTTTCTTTAAGGGTTGGATGCGCAACAGCTTTTGGAATTGTTGATAACGCTGTGGACACGTGGGATATTGGATTGTTACATGGGACTTTAAGACAGACAGTGCAGAGAGGTTTTAGAGCAAATATTTATTGCTCTGGGACTCTAAATGAAAGAATTCATTTCCTTCTGTGAATTCAAACATAGCTTGCTCTTCATGCCTGCCTTGAAGGACTGCTTCTCTGAGGCAGGCATGTAAAGTAAAATATTTGAGCCTTTGCGACACCAACAATAATTGTGATGCTCATACCTGTTCTACTAAAGGTGGTACTGCTGCATGTGTGAGGTGCAGCTCAACAGCAGAACATATGGCTTCTAAAAGGTAAATTAGAAAGGTGAAAAAGCGTAACTCCTGTGATCATTTGTCTCAATCCATTTCCCCGCATGACTGATATCAGGTAATGGTTTCTAAGGCGTGGGCAGATTAAGGGCTGTCTAGGGCTTATTGCTCTGCACTGAAAAGCCAGATAGCAGAGTTTCTTTTTTAATTCTCCTGTGCGCACACCACACAATAGCGAGCAGTGGAGAATAGTGCAATGGCAGTGGAAGCGGTTTTATTACTAAAGAATCTTTGCGTGGGTGGAGGACCGAGCCCCTGCTGCTCCCAGGTT